CTGGCGGCTACGCAACAGCTGTTCATTGTTTACTGCAGAAATATTCGTTATGTTTACGTGAATACATTTTTGTTTCAGTTTTTGCGTGCATTGATTTATTTTCCATTTGCCGATTTATTCAAATAAAGAATGAGAGAAAATCACCAACGGTTCCTCGATTCGCTAAAGTATCAATTTCTTTGTTGTTATCCGCTGCACTGTATCGACTGGGAGGTATTTAGTAAACGATTTTCAGCCTCATCAATTTTATAATCGTGATCACTCATTTACATTATAGGCCATTCCAGATAACCTTACATGGGAACAGCAGCAACAACTCGTAGAAAATACAGTCCTATATGCACTCAACCAAAAGTATCCGGTTAAAATCAGTTATCAGCTTAATTTCCTGAAACGTCTGTTGCAGCATCTGGAACGCAGATATGACGAAGTGCATGACAGTGTATATGAATGTTACTGTGCCGTTCAGCAGCGAATAGCACAAGATACAACTGAAAAGTACGCTTACAAGCATTATTTTCAGCCTGCACTTAAAGTTGAACTAACATTGCGTGAATCCAAAAGTTTCGTGGCGGAAGGCACAACAGGATTATGCAGTTGGCAAGCTTCAATTGCATTAGCAGACTACTTAGTAGAGAATACGCATATAGTGAAAGAAAAGTGCGTTTTAGAGCTAGGTGCCGGCACTGGTTTGTGTGGTATGATTTTAGTGCGGTGTTGTGGCGTACGTCATATATTACTAACAGATGGCAGTCGCGAATGTGTGGATCTAATGAAAGAAAATGTGTGTCGAAATTTCACGGAAGCTAATGAAACCAGCGATGGTCTCTTTGTGGTAAATCAAAGCACATTAAGTTTGAATAAGCTGGAATGGGGTGCAATCGAAGATATGAAATGGCCGGATTCCTTTGCAGCTGATGTAATTTTAGCAGCGGACGTAGTATATGATGACACCGTTTTCGAGTCATTGACGCATGCCATCGATTACGTTTTTAAAATTAGAAAAGATAAGTGTGAAATGTTACTTGCCGCAACGGTAAGGAACGAACACACACTTCAGACGTTTCTGAATTCACTTTGTGAGTATCTACTTAATGTTTTTATATAACTTACACTTTTTACATATAAGGCCATGAAAGCCAGAGCAGCCTTTCTACAAAAAAAGATGAACATGAGAAAGGAAGATCTATTAAAATATAAATGCGGTATTTTACTAAAAGTTCATTGCACCTACCTGATGCTATATATTATGCTAAAAGAAAACTAAAAAGGCGTGCCTGGAGCTGTTGCCTTTCGATTCTAGTAATGCATTTTAAAGTGCACCTCACCTTTTTTTAATTGTCAGCATACACTGGCGCTCAAGGCCTCATATATTGTAGGTATTCACGCTCTACTGGTTATCGGACTAAGTGGTAGTATATTGTAGACAGATTCCAAAAAAAACACTGAAAATAGTGACCAAAAACCAGAAAAGCTATNTATATATTATGCTAAAAGAAAACTAAAAAGGCGTGCCTGGAGCTGTTGCCGTTTCGATTCTAGTAATGCATTTTAAAGTGCACCTCACCTTTTTTTTAATTGTCAGCATACACTGGCGCTCAAGGCCTCATATATTGTAGGTATTCACGCTCTACTGGTTATCGGACTATGTGGTAGTATATTGTAGACAGATTCCAAAAAAATCACTGAAAATAGTAGCCAAAACCAGAAAAGCTAGTGTGAATACTAAAATTGTATCCAAATTTATTGTATCCAAAGTTTATTATTTTCAGCTCAGCTGCATTTCCGATACGTCGAGCGAGATGTTATACCTTTGGATAAATGCAATTTTAACTGGGATCGCACAACCCCTGTGAAAATTTTTAATATAACACGCTAACAAAGGTTAAATAAATAATAAATTCTTGGGAAATAAAATTTATTACCACGCTTTTTTTTAATATAAAATTATCTTAACCTAACTACAAATAAATTCATTGTATATACTTATAATCTAATGAAGTATCTCTGCNATTTCCGATACGTCGAGCGAGATGTTATACCTTTGGATAAATGCAATTTTTACTGGGATCGCACAACCCCTGTGAAAATTTTTAATATAACACGCTAACAAAGGTTAAATAAATAATAAATTCTTGGAAAATAAAATTTATTACCACGTTTTTTTTAAATATAAAATTATCTTAACCTAACTACAAATAAATTCATTGTATATACTTATAATCTAATGAAGTATCTGTCTCACATTCATCAATAGTGCATGTGTGCACTTATCGTTGGAATCGATCCATCCTGCAAGCACGTCACATCCAATTGCTCTATCTCATGTTGTTTAAATATTATACCTAGCAAATCGTATTGTATTTCGAAGAGTGTCATACAATGTGTACGCGGCACTTTTACGCCCACCACGAGCGCAACTAATGCTGTGATTATCATATACACAAATCCTTGTGCCATAATTGTACTTCGATCCGTTGCATAGAAAAAGGAATTTTTAGAATTTGAAACAAAATAGTAATACACCATGCTAGTGCTAATCAACTTCGCCAAATAGGATACAAAGAAAAGCAACTCGGTGTAGCGGAAATGCGTAACTTCCACTAGTGAAATTTGTAAGTTTGAAAACGACAAACCAAAGAAGAATAGTATAAACCATAGTGGTACTGTTGTATCTACAGAATTGCAAATGATCATGCTCAAAATACACAGTATGATGAGACAACACTCATTCGATACAAATGTGACTTTAACACTGAAGAAGATCACAATCAAAATGCATACAACAGAACCGGCGAATACAACCCAAAGCATTGCAGCCACATTATCAACCTCAGTCAATCGGATGGCTGGATTCATTACAAACCAAAAAATATAGTACACGAAGAGAGCATACTGGATTGCTTCGGTGAAAAGCACCACCAAGGTTACGTTCCATTGTTGATTCTTGGTCACATAAAGAAACTTGACACGTTTAATGATATCATTACGTTTATCAAAGATACTGCCATTCGAATTGGCAATACGAAATTCATTATCCAAAATATTTTGACAATCTACTATGCCCAAATAATCCATCACCTTACAACCTATAAGCACAGCTAAAATTACAATGGATATAGTGAAGTAGAGTCCAGCAAAAGGCACATAAAGACCTTTAGGTACTTGTGTAGCTGTTGCATTCAGATTGTTGTCCGTTTTCGTATAGCTAGTACCAACAAGGCTAACGGCCGACGCAGTACCAAGCAGAAAGATTGAGAATGCAAGAGTAAGCATTATTGAACGGCTGCGTTTATGAAGCGTTGTGTGTAGAAAACTCAAACCAGCTATATAATTTAAACTGTACGCAAAGTATGAGATGAAAGCGCCAGCAGTGTCTGAAAAGATATACAAAAATTAAAATATGCAAGGTACATATGTACATATATAAAAACTAAATTAAGGTATAGCAAATAAAGCACAAAACATTGAGAAGTACAAATAGAAAACACAAACACATATTCCC